AACACCGCATACTGCCCAAAAATAAAGAGAGAGAGAGAGAGAGAGAGAGAACGAGTTTGGGGTGTTTTCATTTTTGAAAATAAATTTTCAAAATGACAAAAAGAACACATTTTAACAATCTCAAAATGAACACTCAAACACACAAAACTCAAAATTCAAAACCGAAACACGAAGAGTACTTAAAATTTTAAGTTAGTGTTTTTCACTTATGAGTAAAATTTACAATTATAAGTTAATTTCCTTTTTTAAAATAATCTTTACACATAAGTGAAATTTTTACTTATAATTGATATTTTACTAATTCATGATCTGACATGTACAAAATGAGAACTTCATTCTCGATTCAACGAGAATTTTCATTAAAGTCTTTCATTTGTTTCTTTTTTATGTAGGTGGATCAACTCATCAAGTTCCCATTGAAATATGATCCACACAAGGGAAAATATTTGTCATTCGTAGGTTATCAGCGGCATCTCAAAAACTTTATAAGTAGTAACTTTTTTTTACATATAAGTTAAAAGTTAAACATTTAATTAAAACTACAAGTTAGTATTTTTAACTTATAAGTGTATTTTATAATTATAAGTAAATTTAGTACTTTTAAATAATTTTTATGTATAAGTATTTTTTTTACTTATAAGTAATTTTTTATATTTTATCAATAAATTTTTATCCTATTAGTGATATTTTTACGTTATAAACAATTTTTTACATCGAAGTTGAAATATGATCCACACAAGGAAAAATATTTGTCATTCGTAGGTTATCAGCGGCATCTCAAAAACTTCATAAGTAGTAACTTTTTTTTACATATAAGTTAAAAGTTAAATATTTAATTAAAACTACAAGTTGGTATTTTTAACTTATAAGTGTATTTTATAATTATAAGTAAATTTAGAACTTTTAAATAATTTTTATGTATAAGTAATTTTTTTACTTATAAGTAACTTTTTATATTTTATAAATAATTTTTTATCCTATTAGTGATATTTTTACGTTATAAACAATTTTTTACATAAATGTGATTTTTATTTTAGAAGTAATTTTTTTAATCATAAAGTAATTATTTGTTTATAATAATTATTTTAGTTAATATATTTTTAGTCATGGAGTTAGTGTTCGGAGTTCAAACCAAATGTGTCGATTTTCAAGGCAAAGACAATTGGACTTCTATAACACTTCGAAATTTTTTACGTGGTTTAAAAATAGAGTGACTGAAATTTTATTATGTTGTTTTGGATCGTCTAGACAATAGAAACACATTTACGCCATAGTCTTATTAATCACGGTAAAGTTTGTAAGATAACTTGATTGCTCGATCCATTTATTTTATTTTATTTGTAATATCTAAGTATTATAGGAGAAAGAAAAAGTATATCAATATTGAGCTCATTTTGTAGCTTACATTAAATAACGTATGTTTAGTTCAAGAAAATGTAAGTTCATATAAGATAAGGTCAAGTTATTTCAACATTTTTCCTTTGGTTGAAACGCTTTCAATGGTTATAAGGTAAGATAACGTAATACAAGTGATTTGTCCAATTTAATTTTTGTTATTTCATATTAATAAAATATTACGCTAATGATATATATACACAACAGTCCAATTAATTTTGATGTGTGAACGATAAATGATATTCAAATTGTACTAATATTTGGATCCTATTGAATATTTCCCATACTCACACATATTTCTTTACCTCGCAGGTTAGGACCAGTGTATCGAAGCGCAGAGGTTCGATGGTATAGTCGTGCCTCAAGACGAAAATCTAAAATTTTCACGTAACTTGTTCTTTTTAAAATGGACCGCAAACTTTCATGTTTAATTTAAATACTCGGACATGTTCATTAAAGTAAAATTGTTCACTTTCTAATAAATTAATTAGTATTTCATTCCTTTAAATGTTTATGTTGCACTTTGAGATTTTAATTAGATTTAAAAATATTTGGTAGCAATTCATATAAATTTTATACAATAAATTTTGGATCGTCACAACTTCCTTGACTGGAAAAAAAAAAATGGGACTCGTTTACACCTCTATCCATGTGTAATTATGAGGGTAGATTTAGACACTTATCACCAAAATAAGCATTGCTAAAAGAATTAATTTGTATATTAGTTTTATGATGAATATAATGATATCCTCTCTTGAGTTGACTTGCACAATATTTGGATCTCAGGATTTCTCGTTACACATGTAAGCAATCTCACTTCTGATATCTCGAGGTCTTATCGTCAAAAACCTATGAACCACCTCGAGGGTTTCTTTATTTGCAATCGAATTATACCCACTATCTATCCAACCAGGATCAAATCGTTGGTAATTAATAAATTTATATTCTGTCTATATGGTAATTAATATTTTTAATATGATCAAATATTTTTTATGTTCTTTTATAAATTTTAAATTAATAATTTATCATATTGTTGCTCATGAAGTAACACGATACTATAATTAATATTCCATAAAAATATTAATTGTAGATGTGTCTATTACAAATAGTTTGTTGTTACTCATTAAATAGCACGTCATTATATTTAATATTTAAGAAGAATATTATTTGCTCATGAAAAGTATGAATTATATTTATTTATATTTCAGAAGAATGGAGAAGTCAACAGACTTATATGTATTTTATTAAAAACTAGAGCCTCATATTTATAGGGAAGAATTAGGAATATAACAGTAATAAAACTAGGACCGCATGGGTATAGTTATCATTCACTAATAATTATATTATTTAAAAATCGTCTAATTTTTTGTCAATTTTAAACAGGGAAATTTTCATAGTTAAGATTGTTTAAATATACAATTTAAAAATTAACAAACTTGTTTTAAACTTTCAAAAAGCAGGGGAGTTTAAAAGAGTAATGATATTCGTCCATATTGGGATTACAAACACAGATTATGTGGTGTTAATGTGGCATTAAATGATAGGTGAATTAAATAAATCATTTAATTTCACATTTCATTTAACCTATCATTTAAAGTCACCTAGACTGGAGTTTAAGTCTCAGTAGGGCTAAATAACATTACTCAGCTTAAAATGGTGGTATGTGGAAAGAAATTAAGTTCAACACAAATTCTCGTCCCGCCCCGCCCCCGCCTTTTCTCACAACATCACTCCTAAGCACGGCATTTCAAAAGTTTCGACAAACTATTGACATCCTAAATCACAAATCATACAACCCACCCACCGCCAACCATCCCAAATTGAATTTCGCAAACCACTACAACGTGTAATTGATTAAAATGATTACCTCATCCCATGCGATTGTGGTTGGGTTTGCTCTGTTAGGCTCACGGTGGGGTGCAACCATGAGATATTGAATGTGGTGTGGGTTTATCGGTCATTTACTAGTAGAAGCAGGGGCGGAGCCAGTCCGTTAAATTAAGGGGGTCTCGGAGTTGAAGGGGTGGGGGCCCATGGGAGTTCGCTGCCCCCGAAAATCTTTTTTTAAATATTATGTGTTAAAATGAGGAAAGTTGGTATTTTGTGATAGAGAAAGGAAACAATGGAACATAAATTAATGTACGAAAACTTAACAAAAGAATTAAGAAACGTATAAAATAAAGTACTAATATTTAATTTATCAAAATCATACCTT